TTTTTTTAAAAAAAAAGTTTGTTATTGATCGGCATTATGTTACATCACCTAATTTTGATTTAATTAGGGCATCTCACCCAATATAAGCTCCTTCAACAAACGCTCCGTATCCACAAGAAAATTCGTAGTCTTGTGGATGAAGATTGGCAAAATGGTTATTTGAAAACTGTCATGTTTTTTAATTCTCTGGCAAGACAAGGGTTCTAGAAAATCGCAAGACAAATGTTAACCCCCGAAGACAATACAAAGTACATTGTGACATTGGGAGCTACACCCGAGTCACCTCTTATAGATGCTAATTTAGTGTAATAAAAAATTTGTGATACAAACCAGCTTGTTTTCAAAAATATAAATAAAATTCCTTTTTTAAAAAAATTTATTTTTAGATTCATTCACGAATTTTATTTAGTAAGGTGTACATACTACAAAAAAAGTTCTTTTTATAGTTTTTTTTAAATTATATTTTGTATATTGTTATCATTCCCCAATTATAACTAATAAATTTTTTTTTCCTTTATTTATATACTCGCTTCTTATTATTTTTGTAAAAAATAAAATTATATAATAGAAAAATGGGCATTAAAACAAATTTTGGGAATTCTTTAATTATTTTATTTGTTTTTCTTGTACAAGGTAAAAAGTTCTTTAATATTTTCACTTTTTTTTTTCATTAAGTAAAAAAAGGATAATAACGAAAATTTATTTATTTTAGTGATATATGGACAAGTTAAATATTGTGAACAGTATACGCATTATTGCTTTGTTGTTACACCTCCAGGCCTAAATGCTGCATTAGAAGAAAGTTATGTAAACTTTCGTTTGGAAGCTCCAAAAGAGGTTGGGTAAGTAATTGAATGCTTTTTTTTTTGGAAAAATAAATATTAAAGGAATGGAAATAATTATATTATAATTTTAGATGGCTTGGCCTTGGTATTGGTGAAGATATGTTGTCATATTTAATTGTAATAATATTTATATTTAATTTTTTAACTTTTAATAAAAGAATGCTTAATAAAATTCAGTTTAATGATTTTGATACATTTATTTATTATCAAATAGGTTGCCTGGCATAATGATGCTGAAAACAAAACAATAATATCACAACGTAAAGCAGAATCATATGTAGAACCTAGTCCAACAGAATTTCAAAGTGACCTTATACTTGATCAAGATAATAGTGGAATCATTGGTAACAATTTTGTCGTCAATTTTAAACGTTTACAATCCGTTCAATCCAACACTATCCGCCATAAACAACCTTTCGTTTGGGCAATCTCTTATACGAATCCAAAATCATCCGCTTTTAATGCAACCATTGAAAAACATGATTGGACTGGCCTTACAACATTAAGATTAACACAAAGTGGACAAACTGACGGTGTTTTGACTACCTATGATAGATATATTATTGCTCATTCTACCTTAATGTTTATTGCTTGGTTTGTCATTACTCCTGGATCAATCTTTGTGGCTAGATTTGGTAGAAACATTTTACCTTCATCTTGGTTCAAAATACATTGGATTGCTCAATTGTTTGTTGCCACTCCCCTTGTAATTATTGGTTTCATCTTACCAATAGTCGCCGTAGCTGGAAATGTTGTTTTTGATGAAACGCACCAGGTAATCAATATCGCACATATCTTGTGGTGGTATTATGTTTTTGCGTTAATAATAAATTTTTTCTCGTATTATTTATAAAAATAGATTGTTGGTTTGACTCTTTTTATTGGCCTATTTGTCCAATTAATCATTGGCGGAGTTCATCATAAACTATACGATCCTTCACGTAATTATACACCTTGGTGGACTCATCTTCACAAGTAAAATAATTTATTTTATATTTATGTGTTTATGTGTTAGCTTTGCGCATATTTGCCAACAACAAAGAAATTTATTAATCAATCAATCCTATAATTAGGTTGTTTGGCAAATTACTTTTCGTCTTGGCTTCATTTCAAGTACCATTAGGTTTAGCACTTTACAAAGCAAATCCCTATTACAAATACATTTTCTACGCTTACTTTTTCGTTCTTATCATAGCATATGGCGTGCTTTCCTTTAAATTATGGAAAAAAAGTGGAAATGTCAATAAAGCTAGTGGATTTAAAAGAATGCCCGAAGTTTCTGATAGACCATAAATACTATTTAGCATAATAATATTATTATAAAAAATATGTTCAAATATAAGATTTTTTGGGGGATATTTTATTATTATTTAATATTGGGGGTTTTTTCATTTTTTTAAAAAAATGATGATCTTTTGAATTATGACATATTTATTTTTAGAAAAATAATTAATCGAGTTTCATACATTTCTTTAATAATAATAATAAATAAGTATAATATAAATAAATACATACATACATACACACATAGAATACATGAGATCAGGATAAAATTCTATCAATTATTTTAAATAAATCTGAAAAAATACCAAAGGCCGTTACGCTAGCACCTGCACCTGCACCCTGAATAATTAATGGGTTGGTAAATCTTTTAGTAGTGATTGCAATAATGTTGTCACTACCTTTTAAAGATGAAAAAGGATGAGTTGATGGTAAACTAATGGCGACAACAATAAAACAATGAAATTAATATTAATCTATTAATGACACATCATATTTTCTATATTATAGAAGAAACAAATACCTAAGTAATTTCACACAACTTTGATTTTTATTAAAATCAATCAAACCAACATATCTTAACACTTGATTCTTGGAATTTGATGAATTGTTTAAATCTGTAAAGTGTTGATCAAATTCTGGCAATTTCTCCAAAAATTCATCAGTAGTAATAACTTTTTGTAATGGTTCAGGTACAATATTTTCAACTGATAATGTTTCTAAACTTAAATCTACTAGTCCACAAAATCTACCCAAGATTATAACCTATTATCAATTCATTCATTATTCACGTCGTTTAATTTAAATTATTGATTAGAAGATAAAATCTAATAAAGTTTACCTTGCGAGCTACATCTAATCCATTTAAATCGTCACGCGGATCAGGTTCCTATAATCGAAAGATTTGTTTTTAATAAAGGAAAAATAAAATAACATTTCAAGTGTTAACAAAAATTTTATTTGCGTACGGTATAACCATTTTCTTTGGCGATCTTAACAATATCTGAAAACTTTTTCAATACTTCGTCATTTCCCGACTTTGAAAACTCATTAAAAATATAACTTAACGTTCCACTAAAAATCCCTTCAATCTTCAATATTTTGTCATTAGTTCTAATCAAATCTTTGATTGTACTGATAATAGGCAATCCTGCTCCAACTGTCGATTCATTATAAACAAATTTTTTTGTTTCTTCTGAAACTTTGATTATCTCTTTAAACAAAGCAGTATCACTCGAAAATGGTTTTTTATTAGGTGTGATGATATGCAATCCTTTTTTAAGAAAATATGGATACTTGTTGGCGATTTCTTGACTTGAAGTGTTATCTACTAGGACAGTCGGAAGGGAATTAGAAGAAAGATAATCAAGGAAACTTTCAAGATTTGAAGATTCTCCTTTATTTTCTAAATCAACCTTCCAAGTTGTCAAATTTAAGGGTGCATATTTATCATCACTTAATAATTGTTTTTTGGAATTCTTTAAAGCTACAACTGAGAAAGTAGGTTTTATATTTTTTGATAAATATTCGGCTAATTGAGTAATAAATTCTGAGCCTACAAGTCCTAACCCTATGATTCCAATGTTAATTGACATTTTTTTTTTGATTGATAAGATTTAAATGTTGATCTAAAAAATCACAAAAAAGATGAATTTTAAAAATTCAAAAAAATTTATTAATAAAAACTGTTATAATTCTAATAATGCAACCATTTACAACTTTCATAAGACAAGATTTTCGTTTCATCGAAATGATTATACTCAAATCCAAATTAGGACTCGTAAAACAAAATCAAATAATAATTCATTATATTCAAAACTGTTTTCAAAAAGACATGATACGGACTTTGATTATTTATTACCAAATCATAATCATAACACACCAACACCACCACACCCACACCCACGCCCACCACCACATTCTCCATCAAGATCTGGCTCTGGCCAAACTCCTATATTTAAATATTTTACCGATCATATTTTGCCACAAATCAAATCCAGTAAAATAGTACAACGTACCTTAGAATTAACAAGGCCGATAGAATGGAATGAACAGTTGTTCAAGGAAATTTTGGCTAGTTTTAAGAAGACAAAGCAACTGAAACAATTGAAAAATTCCAATATTGAGATTGGTATTGAATTACCAGATCATAATGCAGTAGTAAAAAATTTTGTTGAAACAATTAGTAAAGGTGAATTGGATGGGTGTAAAAGTGAACAATTAAAAGAAATATTTATAGAAAATGGTGTGAGTATTCTCTTATTTAATTCAAATTAGTCTAATCGGTGGTATAAATTTTTATGATCATTAATTTTTTTAAAAAAATAGAAGGTGGGAGTAGAGAAAATATTGAAATCTGCATTTTTGGAATTTTCACAAGATTATATGTCGAATGAACACAAGCAAAGATACAACTCATTGAAACAATTAAGTGATTTAAGTACGCCTATAGAATGGCACCCAGAGGCTAGGAGTATGCAACGGTAAGTTATTGTTTATTTATCATCTAAAATAAATAAACAACTATTTGTTTTTTAGTAAAAGAAAAAACTAATTATATATAAATAATATTTTAGCAAAATAATATTACACGTTGGACCTACAAATTCAGGAAAAACATATAATGCATTAAAATGTCTGGAGACAGCTAAATCTGGAATTTATTGTGGGCCATTAAGATTACTTGCTAATGAGATCTTTGATCGTATGAATAATAATGGAATACCGTGTAATTTAGTTACTGGCGAAGAAAGAAAAGAGTTGGATGGAATTTATGTACCATTGACTTCTTCAACTGTAGAAATGGCTAATTTAAATAGACAATTGGATGTTGCTGTCATAGACGAAATTCAAATGATCAGTGATCCTTTTAGAGGCTGGGCATGGACACAAGCACTATTAGGTAATAAATAATTAAGATATATTTATTTGCAGCTATTTTATTTTAAATATGCATATATCATACTTTAATTAGGACTAAAAGCAAAAGAAATACATATTTGTGGTGAACCAGCAGCTATTAATCTAATAAAGTCGATATGTAAGAGTGTCAATGAAGAGGTTGAAGTAAAGGAATATAAAAGATTATCAAAACTTGTCATCTGTGACTATTCTCTTAAAAATAATCTCAAAGGAATACAAAAAGGAGATTGTGTAGTGACCTTTTCAAGAAAAGAAATATTTGCACTTAAAAGAAATATTGAAAACACTACAGGATTACGTTGTGCTGTTGCTTATGGTGGCTTACCTCCTGGTATATCAACTGGTTTATTTAATAATATTATTATTTTTAAGATTGTGGTGATGATAAATAGTGATATCTTTTAATAATGATGATTTTTATAGAAACAAGGACGTTACAAGCCAAATTATTTAATGATCCTGATAGTGAATATGATGTTTTGATAGCAAGTGATGCTGTTGGAATGGGTTTGAACTTGTAAAAAAATTTTTTTATTTATTTATAAAAGTGATTTTTAATGATGTTTATCTCTAATTTAAGTTTAATTATTTCATTTGTTAAATCAATAGAAACATAAAAAGAATAGTGTTTGAGACTGTCAGAAAATTTAATGGTACAGATGTGCGTTTAGTATCACCACCTCAAATTAAACAAATTGCTGGAAGAGCTGGTAGATATGGTACAACAAATGCTGTTGGAGAAGTTACAGCGTATGTGAAATAATATATCATTAATAGTTTTTAAATAATCCAAGGTTTTTATATTATTTTTTTAAAAATTGGTTTTCTTAATTACTAATTTATATATTGATTATCAAGATTGGATCCTCTCGATTTACAATATATTAAAAAAGCAATGGAAGTTCCCAGTGAAGATTTAAAGGAAAGATTTATTTCATTTTCTTCTTATAAATTATTTCATTTATTAACCTATTGAAAATATTAATATTTATTATTATTTCAAAAATAAAACTTTTTAGATGGCAGGATTACAACCAACTATGCAAATGGTTGAATTATTTGCACATCAATTACCTGATTTAAAGCAATTTTCTGCACTTTTGGTCTGTTGTAATAATCTATTAATTGGGAGGGATGGGGGTTAAAAAGTTTGTCTTTTACTAAAAAAATTTTTTTTCACAGGAAAAATTTGAATCATTGGCACGTGTTGGTGGACAATACTTTCTATGTAATTTTACAAATCAAAAAGTATTTACTTAATGATTTAATTTAACATTAAGTTTTTATTTTGTAACTAATTAATTTAATGTATGTGTAGTTGATAGCAAATTCTATTGAACATATCCATTTGACCATACCAGAAAGATTTATATTTGTTACAGCACCTATAAATACAAATGATTTGTATCTTATGAAAAAAGTTCAAATGGTAAAATATGAACTCTGTACTTTTATTATTACTATTACTATTATTTGATAAATTTAAATTTTGTTATTCTATTGATTCTATAAATATTTGTCTTGAATAAGTTTGCTAGGTTACATGGTGAGGGAAAAGAAGTTTTATTAGAAGATTTTGTTAGAATTTCTGACAAGATTCCAAGCAATACAATAGAACTAAAAGAACTTGAATCAAAACATAGAACTATTATGTTATATTTATGGTTAACGTGTGTATTAAAAACAATTAATTTTTTATTTAATGACAATATTAAGCCATATTTATTTATTTTACAAATTAAAATTTAAATAGTTATCGATTACCTGAAACATTTGTTGGATCTGATGTAGCTAAAGAGACAAAATCTAAATGTGAAGACTTGATACATGAATCATTACAGAGTCTTAAGTTTGCTAAAACACATCATAAATGGTCAACAGGGCAAAGCAAGAAGACCACAACAAGTATCTTACTAAATAAAGTAATATAATTACTTTAAAAGTAAGATCTTTTTGGATTTTAAAATGGATGATTTTGTTCATCACTAGTAATGAAAGTTGCCACCCACTAATAAAAATCAAAGTGAAATTGCAAGAAAAATAAGAAAAATTGTTAACTAGGATGCATCCCAAACCCATCCCAGCCCAACTTTATTGTATATATTGTTTGTTTAGCAATTACATTAAAAAAGTAGCAATTAAAATATGAACCATAAGAAAAAATTTGCTATTTTGTACAATTTCTTAAATTGTGTCCGATGCCATTGCTACACAGCATAATAATAAACATAGTGGAAATTTGAAATGTTACACTAATTTTTTATATTGTGCAACGTAGCTTTACAATACACGGCAAACATTCTG